GTAGCAGGCAGGACAAAAATGGATATAGAAAGAGGAATTTTATTGCAAAACTGTTAATAGACGATTTTTAGACTCAAGTTTCAACTTGCAGCACTCTCATTTCTGAGTGAAAAAGTTGTGGATTCAAATCCTAATTTAAAAATTACAGGGCAAAATAAAACATTAGAAGACTTGGTGGGCAAGGTGTCAGCTGTGGCTCAACGGATAGTTCTCTCCTCTCCAAGTCAGAAGGATTTGGGTTGAATCCCACTCCAAACACTCTGTTTCTTTTTCCACAGATGCTGCCAGACCTGCTGCGCATTGCCAGCAATTTCTGTTTTTGTTTAAACGTTTGTTCAGGGACGCGAGCATATTGGCAAGACCAGCATTATATTCCTCATCTAAAGTTACCAGAGAATGTGGTTCTGAAGAAGATTTGACTCAAAATGTCAACCGTGTTCCTCTCTATGGGTGTTGCCAACTAAGCAGAATTTCTCCAACGCTTTCTGGTATTATATCTGAGAAGGTGGTCATTGGGCTTTCCCAAAGTGCTGGATTTTGTTACAATGCAATGTTTTCCTAAGTTACATCAGAGGGGAGTCAAGAGTCAACTCTTAGCAGGTTCGAGGAGCCAAATGGTCTGCTCCTGACCCAATTTACATTTTTATACATGGGTTAGAATTACACTCAGACATACACTGGGTAAGGACAACAGGTTTGGTTCACTCAAGGTCATTCATGTTGATCTGTTATTCTGTTCTCATTTGATAGACCCATTCACCCACCGGTCTCCACTCTCTTTCTCGGTATTTTTCTAAAAATTATAACTTTAGCTGTGTAGCTTTAATACGCCACAGCTAGGTTTTCAATTTGCAATCCTAATGAAGGGTTCTACACAAAACTGAATTACTTCCTTCTTGCTACAAACATTGACTCACCTGCATGGTACATCTATTTTAAATTTCAGAACCTTGGTGTTTTTTGCTCTTTATTCTGTCAGTGAAAATGGACAACCGCACCTCCTCCACGATAACCCTCAACACTGGCGTCCCGCGAGGATGCATCCTCAGCCCCCTACTGTACTCCCTATACATCCATAACTGTGTAGCCAAATTCTGAATGAACGCCATCTACACGTTTGCTAACGACACCACCTTAGTAGGACAGCTATCAAACAACAATGAGTCAGAATACGGGATGGACCTCTCACATAGATGCGAAAGTCAAGAAGGCACAAGAACGCCTCCTTCTTCAGGCACCTTAGGAAATTCAGCATGTCCATAAAGGACCCTCACCAACTTCTATAAAATGTATCATTGAAAGCATTCTCTCCAGGTGCATAATGGCCTGGTACGGCAATTGCTCTGCCCAGGACCATAAGAAATGACAGAAGGTTATGCGCACAGCGCAGATGATCATGGAAGCCAACTCCCATCCATGGACTCCATTTACACTTCTTGTTGCCACATCATCAAAGATCCCTCCCAACCTGGTAACATTCTCTTCTGTCAGGCAGGAGATACAGAAGCTTAAACACACAAATTTGTTGGTGCAAGAACAGCAACTTCCCTGCTGTTATTAGACTGCTGAATGGACCTTTCCAATTTCAAATAATGTTGATCTTGCTTTGTGCACCTCCTGTGAGGCTGTAGCCCTGTATGCCTCGTTCTGTCTATACACCCTATGACCTGTATGTCCTTGTTTGCCATGGTCTACCTGTACTTCTCGCAAAACAAAGCTTTTCACTGTACTAAGAACACGTGACTACAATAAATCAAAACAAAATAGATGTAAAATATTCACTGTGCTCTCATGTAGTCTGTTTCGAGTTTGTGTAATGACATTAAATTTTATGTTTTACCACTTAGACTTTCTGGATAAACAGGACTCCACTGGGTTATATTTGCGCATAAAAAATTCCTCATTACACAGCGACATTAATGGATAGTATTTAGGAATCGCCTTTACTAAGGCAAAAATCCCAGAATGTCAGATGCCATAGAATAGCACAGATGGCATATATTTATCACAGATAGCTAAATTCCAGTCTTAATTTAAGCAGTAGTTTTAAATCAGTGGCTTAAATGATGAGAGAGTTTGAGAGGCAAAGAGGATTCAGAGATGGATTACCAGTGCTTTGGATCAAGTTAGCTGAAAATGGTTCCCAATGGCAGGGGGGCACTGAGTCAGAAATGGAAAAATGCAGAGGTCTCGGAAGCTCATGCCATGCTGAAGGCAGTTAAAGAGATAATGAGGGGAAAGGTGATAGAGGGAATTGAAAGCAAGGATTATAAGTTTAAAATCATGACAATATAAGTTAGCAAGCCAAGACTACAGGGGCAACAGGGTTTGGTGCATACCAGCTGGCAGGCAACAGAGCTTTGGATGTCCTCAAATTGACAGCGGCTATAATATGGGAAAAAATCCAGAAGTGCATTGGAATGTTCAAGTCTAGGGGTATGGATGATGTTTCAGCAGTAGATGAGAGGAGTAAAGGTCAAAATCAAGTACTCTTAGTGAGGTGGAGATTAGACAATGAAATGAATATGCAGTTGAAACATCATCTCATCTTTGACCTTATGTGCAGTCTGATTCAGCCTCAGAATTTTGCTGGAGAGGATGAAAATCAATGATGGAAACTGAGTTTATGATGGGGACCAAAGACAATGACTTCATTCATCCTGATATTTAAAACTGAGGAAATTTCTGTCCTCAATTCTGGATAATGGTTAAAACAGTTTTAGCAAATTAGAGGGTGTTGGAGGTGGGGATGTCATAAGTGGTACTGGTGAGGTAGGGCTGGCATCATCAATGTCTACATATGTGAGCATTGATGCTTTTGATGACATTGCCAAGGGGCAACACGTACATGCGAAGTAGGAGAGACCAAAGATGATGATATCAGAGGAAAGGCAATGGGAACTGTTTCAGCTAATTAAGTTAAGAGTGGAAACGTGAGCGCAATCCCACCACCAGAGAAGATGATGTTGTCAACCATATTAAAAAAAAGACAACACATGAAAAAAGATAAGATGGAATAGTTTCCTCTTGTCTTGGTCATGGAAGATGGCAGTTGTGAACTTGATGACAACAGTTTTGGTGGTATGGTGGGCTTATACTAAAAGAATGAAGGAACATGGGGATTGTTCAAAGAAATGTATTTGAGGTAGAAGATCAGCATTGACTGTATCGAATGGTGGGAGGCTTGAGGGACAGAATTTGATCATTTTAGTCATTTGTATTAATCGTAGGAATCCAGGAAGTGGAAATGCAAATCACAGAAATATCATCAGCAGTTTTCATGCAAGAAAAAAAAAAGAGGGTTATGTTCTAAAATTGTTGAACCCAATGCGGAGTCTAAAAAGTAAAATGAGTGAGAGAGGTGAAGTATTCGACACAAGTTTGAGGAAGATCACATTAGAAGAGTGCAGGACACGAAAGTGCAAGTGGAATTGGGTAGTGAATTAAACTGACAGAAGACCAGGAGGTCGGGGTCGCACAGGCTTTGTGGAGGCGTTCTATAATGCAACCAACCAATTGTTCTCTCCAACACAGAACATGCAATACGTTAAACTGCCTGGGCTCTACCCTTCTGGACCTGCTCAGTCTCCCTACTAGCAAACTGAGAATGCTGGAGAAACCCAGCACGTCTGGCAGCATCTGTGGAAAGAGAAACAGAGTTAATGCTTTGAGTCTGGTGTGGCTTCTTCTGAATGGAAACTTGGAATTTTTTTAAAAATACAGGTATATACTTTGAATCAGACCCAGTGCAAAAGACGAAGAGGTTGTCAATGGTGGTGACAGAGAAAGAGAGATGTAAAATGGGTGTCAATTTATGTGTGAGTGAATCCTCTCTACTAAGAGCAAACAAGACACAAACAAGATGAAGTGAGTGGGTGGGGTGTAGGAAGAGAAGGTGAGAAAATGGGGAACAGACAGTCAGATTATGGGGCTGTTGAGTTCAACACTGAAGCTGTGAATTACCCAAGCAGAAAATTTAAGGTGTTGTTCCTTGAGCTTGTGTTTGTGCTTCAATAGAATGTTGCAGCAGGCGCAGGTCAGAAATATTAACATTCTTTCTACCTGCCTCTTTGACCACTTTTACTCATCTCCCCTATTGTAGCTCAGTGTTAGATTTTATGGCAATCCTGTGAAGCACTTTGCGTTATCTTATTACATTAACGAACTAAGTGCCATCCACTAATTGCATCCACTAATCCATTGATCGCTGTCTATCCATTCCTGTCTCATTTCAATCCACACTATTACCCCTGTGACATTTATCCTGCTTTCCGCAGTAACCTAGGCTTCTCTCCTCGTTGCTCCTCTCCCCCCACCCTCCGGTATTTAATTAAACGCTGAAACATCTCGACACTTTTCAGTTCTGGTGGAAACACCGAGATACGGAGCGAATGCGGCGGAGTTGAAAGAGGCACCGTTCAGATGAGGCGGGTAAAAACAAGGCACCATCTTTCCCCTCCCAACCATTTGGAAGAACCGTCACAAAAACAAAACACAACACTTCTCCTGCTAGCAACAGCACAAAATAACAGCAATAATAATAATAATAAAATGGCTACTATGCCAGTAAGAATCTCACTTGGTTTTCTGCACTACAGTTCGAAGAGGCTGCAAAGCTCTTCGGGGCATTTTGTGGTCAGAAAAGGGTGTTGTTGCTTTTCAAAAAAACAAGGTACAAAAAAAATTTTTTTTTTTTTGCAAGTTCTTTCCGATCTCTTTTGCAAAAGAAGCGAATGCCTCTGTCAGGTGGAAGGTTGCTGTGGGGGGTTTAAAAAGTCGGTGGATTTTCGGATCTGGGTTTTGCTGACATACAGACACACACACACACAGAAGCCAGAGTGAACAGGCTGGAACCAGTTAGAGGCAGGTTCGAATCCTCCCAACAGCTTGTCTGTATAACTCCACAATCACCACCTTCCACCCCCCCCGCCGCCAAACCCAGCACACAGATTCAAAAACACCCCACTGCAAACTCCAGCAGATAGATGGAAACCATTTACCTGAGTCTGGAAGGACCAAGGCAGCTGAAGGACAACGAAATGGAGAGACCAATCCTTGGGGCAGAAAGGGACAACCCTCAGAAGGAGAGATAAATCCACTTTGAGGGGGGTGGGGGAAGAGTGTAAACCCTGCCTTGCTATAGGTCCATCTCACTCTGATTGACGTCAACCCCGACCAATGGGACTGGGGGATCTAAGGGATGACGCGCCACAAGGGCAGAAGCCCGCAGAGAGAGAAACGATGCGCGCCCCCGGGGCCAGCGGATGCGCGAGCACGAGAGGCCGGCTTCCAGGTGAGTGGAGGCGCGGGCTAGAGGCTCCTCACCTGCTGCCGATGGCGGGGCTGGGAGGATCGGAATCCCCGCTCACGGTGCATTGCATTTGTATATCGACGGGGTTCATTCGCCCCCTCCCCACGTCACTCGCAGCCCGCGCGGCGCTGCCTAGCCACCGGGGACTGGCCCCCGCTGCAATTAGGGTCAATGTACAAACCTCCAGGGTCAATGTCAATGTGGGTCCTTCCCAGAATCGTTCACAGGCTTTGTATCCGTCAATTGTTTCTGTGCAAAGACACAAAATAGCAAGCTGTCTAACTCCTCAAGGACAGGGCGTTATTGGGCTGAGGTCAGGCTTGAGACAGTGGGAACACAGTTGCCACATTTAAGATGTATAAATGTGCGTTTGCACAGTGAAGAAGTGGGAAGGCTACATTCACATCTTATTTTGCAACAACTGGGTTCTCCATGTCACGGAGACACTGGCCAGGAACAAGACACTCCCCACCTCGCCTGTCCGAGTCTTTTAAAAGCAGTTGGTTTGCTTTCTGTTGGCGGGTGAGGTATTGGCTGAGACTGGTTTGCACCAAGTGCCAGGTTCTGTGTTGTCTTCTGATCGCTTTTCAAGAGTTCCTGCATTTCTTCATGCCTCTCCTTCAAAATGTTAAAAGATTTGAGACCTTCTAGGATGGTTTCAGTCATGGATTCGTCTTCACACTAATGAAATAGTGTCAGCTCTCCACAGATTGTTGAAGGTGAGGAGGGAGATCAAGGACATGGAGCTGGAGTAGGGTGTTTGGCCCCTTTACCTGTGAGTGTCTGTGTGTGAGTGAAAGAGTTTGCTGTGTGTGGTACTGATAAATCAATAGTGCAGTTTGAGAGTTCCAGGATTTTTGACCCAGTGACAAATGAAGAAAAGGCCAAATAATCCAAGGATGTTGTGTAGGGGAATGGTGTTCCTTTATCTCCACTGATCTCATCTTCCTCGGTGGTAGAGGTCATAGTTTTTGGAAGGTACTGTCAAAGGAGGCTTGGCATGTTGCTATGGGCCATCTTGAAGATGGCATGCATTGCTGTCACTCTGCATTCATGGTGGAGGGAGTGTTGATGACAATAGATGTGGTGCCAGTCAAGCGGGCTACTTTTCTTCTGGATGAAGTTGAGCTTCTTGAGTGTTGTTGGAACTACATCCATTCAGGAAAGTGGGGAGTATTCCATCACACTCTGACTTGTGCCTTGTAGATGGCAGACAGGCTTTGGGGAGTCAGGATGGGAGATACTCACTGCAGGATTCCTAGCCTCTGACCTGCTCTGGTAGTCCATCATTCAATGGAATCGCAACTAATCTGTGACTGAATTTCACCACATCAGAGAATCTGGACAGTGCAGAAAGAGGCCATTGACTCTGCACTGACCCTCCGAAGAGCATCCCACCCCTAGATAGTAGGAACTGTAGATGCTGGAGAATCCGAGACCAGACCCTGGTTTATCCCTGCAACACATATCTTTCCCTGGATATAATGGGACAATTTAGCATGGCCAATCCACCTAACCTGCACATCTTTGAACTGTGGGAGGAAACTGGAGGAAACCATGCAGGCAGTCACCCAAGGCTGGTGCTGTGAGGCAGCAGTATTAACCACTGACCCACCGTGCTGCCCAAGTAACCAAGACTTTGTACAGCTGAAGTATGAATTGTACTTCCTTGTATACTGGTGCTCTAGATTATAACAACCAACATTTCATTAGCCTTTTTGATTATTTGAGAACATAGTGTCTCGAGTTTTAAACATGAAGAGGAGTTTCTTGTCTGGGGAATTGTTAATTTTTGAGCCTAGAGAACAGTGAAGCCTGGGTTGTAGAATATATTCCTTAGGTTTTCGATCCTTAATGGAATCAAGGGTTACCGGTGATGTTGTGACCGTAAACAGATCAGCCATGATCTTATAGGCCCCAAGAGACGAACTGCAAAATTCCTTGTAATTTTTTTGATGCTGCACAGACCTCCAGGTTGTGTGGCAGTGGCTTCTGGAAGCAGCAAGTATTCACCCACACACCAATCAACGTGTGCAGAGCTTCCCTGTGGCCGCACAGCCCAGAGGGAGTATTGGCTGAGTGGTTGCCTGCTACTCCTATTCCTCACATTTTTGAACTTTGGTGCCTTTTTGTGAATGTTCAAACCTAAGTATCTGGACACCCATGTCTCCTTGGAGATATACTGCTACTGGATTTTCACCATATAGAAAGTGCCCTGCCCAATTGTTTTCTAGGGGACGTTATAGTGTGGTGGTAATATCATTGGACTAATAATCCCCAACACCAGGCTAATGTTTTTGGGTCATGAGTTTGAATCCCACCATTGCAGATGGTGAAATTTGAATTCAATTTTTAAAGTAGGTTAGCCTAATGATAACCATAGTCGTCAACAAATTGGACGAGGGATAAGAAAGCACATATCCAAACTTGCAGATGGCACAAACAGCGAGTTTCGTAACCTGTGTGAAGGTAAGTATGACATTTCAGTGATTATCGTAAAAACCTGTCTGGTTCACTAATATCTTATAGGGAAGTAAATCCTGGTCTCTTACCTGGTCTGATTTACATCTAACTCCAGAGTCAGAGCAATATGTCTGACTCTCGGGTAGTTATGGTTGGGCAATAAATGCTGACCTATCTCTCAAATGTTTTTTTTTTAATACTCCAAAGTAGATAACCTCACAGTTGCTTGTCTCGAAATGCATTTGCTGCAGTTTTGCCTATTCATTTCATCCGTTAACATTTCTGTAATGTTATGTTTACGTTCACACAGCTTATAAGGCTCTCTGTTTATGAAATCTGCAAATTTGGATATTTGCTTTCTATTCCTCATCTAATTTGTTGATGAATACTTTAAATAGTTGATTTTTGTGAGATTCCACTGGCTGCTTTGTGCCAGTTAAGGTCCCTCTCCAATATCCCTCCTATCTCCTGCTGTTCAGCCTATTTCCCTATGCTGGTCAATAAATTGTTCCCATTACTCAGAACCTCACAGCTAATCGTCTCTTACGAGGAATTTTATTAAGTGTCACTGGAAATCTATATAAAAATATCTAAAGACATTCTTTGCCAACTACACAATAGGATTAATTTGGCGTGACCCACCCTTTACAAGTTAGACTCTCTCTGATCAGCTGAAAATGCTGGAGGTGTTCGGTCAGCCTATTCCTAAATATATACTCTTGTAATTTCCTGACAACAGACATCAGGCTTAACTGGTTTATAATTTCGACCCGCATTTTTCTCAGCAAGCTGTCTTGAGCAAATTACTCTTTCCAGGAAGATAGACATAGTAGCAGAATGCCTAGAATACAGCTTTAGTCCTATTATCTCAGGAAAGATTTACTGTCACTGGAGGGAATTCAGAGTCCTGCACTGGGAGAGGTTGAGAAGGTTGGGCCTTTGCTGTCGTTGGAGTTTAGTAGAATGAGTGGAAGCCTTATTGAAACAAGTAAGATTCTATCGAAGAGTCATGAATCTGTGCACTTCACTACCCCAGAGTGTGGTGGAACCTGGGACAATGTGTATAATTAAGAAGATAGACAGACAGGTTTTTAAGTAGTAACGAGTTGAAGGGTTATGGAGAGTGGGCAGGAAAGTGGAATTGAAGCCAAGATTAAATTAGCTAAAATCGTATTAAATGGTGGAGCAGGTTTGAGGGGCTGAGTGGCCTACTCTTGTGTCGAATCCTTTTTGCTCCTTTGTGTAAATGAGTTGTTGATTGGAGTGGATCATAGTTCTGAGCAGACCTTCCTCAAAGAGGAGACACTCTGTGCTCGCTATGGACTGTGCGCTGTCAGTGTTGGGACTGCAGCAGTGCAAGACCTCAGCTGACTGAGATGAAGGCCGAGTGAGTTGTGACTGAAATCTTAAAGTGGAAACACGACTTTGCAAATTCACCCTCTATTAAAATAATCAGATTAAGTAAGTTTTTATTTGCCTAATTAAAGCTGCCTGATTCTGCTTGTTAGAATTCAAGTACTTGAGTTTCTTTGTTTTTAATGAGGTTTTGATTGGAGTAACCAAACATGTTCTCTATGCAGGCCTTTGTAAGAAAGAGATAACTTCGGAGAGAGTTTGAAAGGAGTATGGTTAATGTTGGGACTGCAGCAATGTGGGACCTCAGCTCAGTGCGATCAAGACGGAGTCAGTAATCTGGGAACTTTGATTTAAAATGGAAATTCAATGCAAAAAGGGAGGAGGTATTTTGGCTATGGTTTACTGCAATAATCAAACATTGCTGAGCGAGGTGTGAGAGAGAGATAACAAAGGATGTTGATTGAGACTCTGACCTGCAGTGAGACACTGGCGGAGACAAGACACAGACCACAGCATGATACAAGTGTGGGTAAAGCAGCTGACAGGGAAGTAGAACTAGTGAGTATATCTAATCACAAAAGTAAACATCAGATTTTTAGTTTGTGTTTAGGTTTACAGTGTTTGCTTCCTTTTATAAAAAAAAAATTGAGCATTGGATTGATACTGGAGATTTTTTTAGTTTATAAAAGCAACATATCAGGACAGTGAAGTATAAAGGCAGAGAGTCTTGGCTAACTAATCTATAGGTTAAATTGGTGGTAGCAGGACAGGTGATGTGTTGCTGCTGCAACATGTGGGAGCTGCTGGACACCAATGGGGCCAGTATCCTGATGAATCGAGCAACTAAGGCTGTAGAGAGGTCTTTGAACTAATTGGGGGTGTAGATTTGGAGAGGGAACTGTAGGCTTATATAGCAAGAGGATATGGCAAAATTACAGGGCATCTGTTTGAAGAATAATACCAAGAGTGGAATGACACAGGACAGAGGAGGAAGTCTAGGAGGCAGTTCACTAGCTTGATAACAGGTGACTGTCTTATGAGGAGAGGTTGGATAGATTGAGTCTGCACTTGTTAGAGTTTAGAAAAATGAGGGGAAACCTTAATGAAACATATAAGATTCTTAGAGGAGTTAACAGGGTAGAAGCAGACATTTCTGTGGAAGG